TAAAGCTGATAACACGTGGAAACGTGAATACGATATCTTTTTAGCTCTAGGCAGAAACTGAAAGTATTAAAGCGATCCTTCTTTTTTCTTTTCTTTTTTTTTTTTCGTAGAGTCTCGTAACCTTTCACCCGTAATGTACCTAAGCGAACATTACAAAATCACGACGTAACTCTGACGCTCTTGGAAACAACAAGTAAACGAGAACAACAACAACAAAAAAGAAAAGAAAAGGAAAGAAAAGAAAAGAAAATAAAGAAAATGAAACAACGCGCAAAGCCAGAATCACAAATTTTACAAAACACCGATATAAATCGTTTGATAACGCGTCTGCTGTTGGCCCCTAGGCGTCGATGTATAGCATTGCTAGTGAACACATATATATATATATACATATATAGAGGAAAATACGACGAAAAGAGAAAGGGCCATGAAGAGGGGTTGGGGGGTAGTAGGGAGGGCCTATCCCTTCGTAGAAGGGACGATGAAAATTTGGCGAAACGCCAAAGCACACTCTCTGTTCCTCTCCACCATAACCCTAACCACTACCCCCATCCAGCCATCGTCCCTCAACCAGGCCTGGAAGGTGCGCACAGACGCACACATTGACTAAAGCTAACCGGTATGTCGTTCGCTCTGCAAGCTATGGGGTCGGGTAGAGAGGGGAGGGGGGATGCTAGCGGGTGACATAGCCGATATCGCTAATTGCAAAAACCACCCTCGCTAAAATCGCCCGTGGCAACGACACCCGGACTTTTTAACGCGCGTTTCAACGAATATCGCGACGGCTACTGTTCTCGATAATCTCCTTTCTCCAACTATTTCACGTTTCTTTCTATATCATTTTGTTCTTTTGGCAGGATAACTGAAGCGAACAAAGTACAAACCGATAAAGATCTTTGCCATTTTCCCTAACACGACGAAACTCATTCCCGTATGTTATAACATTTTCTACGCGTACATAACACGTTAATACCCATGCATTTTCCATCGAGGTCATAGTTTCCTTCCTCTCTGTCTCACCATTTTATTCGACTTTATCTTTTTATTCACGAAATATTTTTCTCTCTCTCTCTCTCTCTTTTTTTCTATATTCGAAATGTATTCACTACGTTTTAATATTTGTGTATACGCTTGCATCTATATATATATATATGTATATACAGTTATATACACATATTCGTACGACGTTCATTCGGCCTAATAAATAAATGCAATAGCAATTTACACGTTTTGTTGCACGGCGAACGTTTTATCGCTCGTATCGATATAAATCCGTCCGAATAAACGCGTGCGCGCGAGAGAGAAAGAGAGAGAGAGAGAGAGGCGCGTAACACACGGAGAAAAAACGAGAACGGATTCGAGTTTATTTATTTTCCTTTGCCATTTTTATTTTTCCTTTATTTTTCGTGCGCGTTTCGGAAGAGAAAAAGAGATAGAGAGAGAGAGAGAGAGAGAGAGAGAGAGAGAGAGAGGGCAAATCTTGCTCGCGCATTAATTCCCTGTATTTTTTATACGGCCGATTAAGCAGTGCAGTCGATATTCTCGCAATAAAAATCGTTCGTTCGTATGTTCGTATGTTCGTTCGTTCGTTCGTTCGCTTACACACTCGTAGTCGAGAAATCGAAAAAAGATTTTAATATCATCCTTCCAATATAAATTTATAAAGAAGAAAAATAAATAATTCAGAGTCGATATATTGTAAAACAATTTTTTTTTCCTCCAACCCATTTTTTTTTAACCCTTCGTTTTTGTAATATATATATATATCGAATAAGGTCAATGTAAAATCGACTAAGCACGTGTATTGGAGGATGCTTTCAATACGTTCAAATGCAACAAGTTAGAGACGAAACGTAAACCACCTACGTTACGAACGGACGAAATCAAAAGTGAAACGAATGTAATTGTTTTCATTTATATTAGTCTTTACATCGTATAATTAACAAACGAACAAATACTGATTATTAATGAACGATCTAATGTATTTTTACGCAGTAATATGTAATAACAACACATAATATAATACAATAGATATTATTATAGGTGTTATATAAAATATCACATAGTAAAATATAATCCATTCGAAAAGGAAAATGTATTAATCTTATGATTAATTAGAACACGATATTTATAATATATGAAAAATTCGAATTTATTCTTCTTTGAGGAAAATTATTATTTTCGGTTAAAGCCATATATAGTAGATATCATAGACGTAGAAGTGAACGTAACGAAACGAGACAAACGCGTTACGTTAACAAAGTTTTTGCAGAAACACGTGCTAATGTCAGGAAATACGGAATAGCCGAGTCGGTAGAGACACACTGCGAGTGTCGCACCGTGTCCTCCGGCTAAACACATCGGGACTTTCAAAGTATCTCAAGCGAAACGACTCGAGCTTCTACAACTAAAGGTAGCTTCGTAGGAAGGAAGGTGGTGGTACGTATTTCAACGAGATACTCTCTCCGAGTTCGCTTTAAACCGGGTCAGTATTCAAAATTCCAAACTTTCTCGTTTTGCCGATGTATTTATATAGAGTAAAGTACTCGAAATAGTCTACCTAAAGAACATCCTTTTCTTTCTTCTTCTTTTTTTTCTTCTTCTTCTTCTTCTTCTTGTTATTTTATTAACAAAAATCATCAAGACTGAGTTATTATATTTCACGAAGAATATGCATTACTCACGTTCAATCGTGTGGGGAAACAAAAATGAAATTCTTTTCTCTTTCAATTGAAATTAAATAAAACGAACAAAATCATTTTAAGAAACATTTCATTCATCATCAAAAGTATTTCTTACTTATATTACTTCTGATTATTAAAACCATAACATCAAATGTGATGAAGTTACTAAGGTTGTTTGTATGAAATGCCTCATCCAGTATACATATGCATTACCACATATACGTATATATATATATATATGTATACATTTATCCACACAAAGTTTCCTCGTCGTCAGTTTCCATCGACATAATCGTTGTTCGCTATATCGATAAATGTTCGATCATGTTCGAAACTAATTGGGAGACACGACATCCGACTAATCAATTTTTCCGGACGCTCGAACGACTCCGACACGAATAAAAGTCGTTTATTATAGGACACGCCGTTAATTAAGCAAGGGGTACTTCGATGGAAAATATAAAAAAAAAAAGCAAAAAAACAAAAACAGGAGGGGAGAACAAAATGAGGGGGGACAAAATTTTTTTACTTTTTTTTTTTTTGTTGTCCATCATAATTTCATCTTCCGTCGTATATTCCACTAAGGGCGGGGGGAGAAGGGAGGGGGAGAAGGGAGAGGCTTATCGAAACGATAAAACGTAAAGTATATGTATACGCTAACCTAAATTTAATTCCGACGTGTACGAGTACGAGAGAACTGAAAATGATGTAGAGGGACCCAAAAATTTCAATTAAATCAAACGTGCAAATATTTCCCTTGTCTACAACGAAATAAATCCCATCAAATAATTACAGAAATCCAATCTCCCTATGTAAACAAAAAGAAAAAAGAAAAAAGAAGGAAGAAAAAAAATTATTGAATGTCTAATTTAAATTGTTCCTCTCCCCGCCAACCCCACGCCGTATTATTTTTTTTTCTTTTCGTTTTTCTTCCATCCGTGATTTTTGTTTTTTTCTCTCCCTCTTTTTTTTTTTTTTTTTTTTCTTTCCCTCTCTTTTATCTTTTCAGTCATTAAGACTCATCGGACGAGTTCTTAGTGTAACATTTATAAAGGTCAGTCAACAAAGGCCGACTCTTACGGTAATTAAGCATTTCGCCCGTACAGACTCCACAAACTGCAAGTAAAAACTAAATAAATACAGGTCTTTCTGTATCTACCCTCTCCCTCTCCCTCTCTCCTTCTCTCTCACTCTCTCTCTCTCTCTCTCTCTCTCTCTATCTCTATTTCTATCTCTATCTCTATCTAACTCTGTTTTTTATCTTTTTCTTTTTCTCTTACTGGATCCGAAGCACGAACGTGGAGATGTGGGTACGCGGCTACGTTGGATCTAAGCATGGGAGAGCTTGCGCAAATACAAAAGCTCACGGCTAAAGATAAACAGAAAGAGACTGTAAGCTGCAACGTAGCTTCCGGCAAGATGACTCGTCGTGAAAAGAAAGAAAGAGAGAGAAAGAGAGAGAAAAAAAGATAGAAAGCAACGGAGGAAAGATAAAGATAAAAAGATAAGGAAGAGAGAGAGAGAGAAAGAGAAACACGGCGTCGAAGCGAAAAACGTTAGAAAGTAGTGATAGTAAGAGATAGGGTGTAAAGGTGGGTGGGTGGTTGGTTAAAGGGGGTGGTATGGCGATCTTTCGAGTACGGATATAGAAAGAGAGAATGGAAGGAAAGCAAGACGAACGACAAAGCTTCAACAAAAAAAGGCGCCTATAAAGCTCTGACAACTATATATATATAGATATATACATATACTGCCAAAGGCTCTTGCCACTTTCGAAGAGGTCCTTCGTGAATCTACGGCCCTGAGCTCTCGCCCTATACTACTACCGAATAAACTTTCGTTCTGTGAGACTAAAGAAACAGAAAAAAAAAACGAGTGAGAGGGAGAGAGAGAGAGAATGAGAGAGAAAAGTGAGATAAAGAAAGAAAAAAAGAAGAAAATAAATACCGAATCTTCCCCGTTATTTCCAAAGAATTACGAAGAGCTTTCAAATCGTTTCGAATTGAAAAGGAATTGAAAATGCGTAGTAGTCGAAAAAGAAAAAAAAAAGAGAGGAAAGGGTTCGCAACGTTTGGAATAATTTTGGTTTTGTTTTGTTTTCATATTCGTTAGCGAATCTTTTATATTATCAATGTATCAGAAACGTGTTTTCTTTTTTTGTGGAGCAAGGATGATCGGTAAAATGAAGAATAATGATTAATTAGTTAAAACTATGATTTGTTTCTTATATAAATTGATATACGACAGATCGTAGGAAATATTATATATATAATAATCGATTTATTTTCATATTAGATTTTTTTTATATTTACTCACCTATTGTGACCGATACCAGAAACGTCGGCGATCGTTCTGTAACAAAAATATATACGAATGTATGATGAAAAAAAGAAAACTTTCGTAGTAGAAAGGTAATATTATAAGATATAATTTGAAAATAAAAAGTCAATGGTATATATATATATATATATATAGATCGTTTCTAATACTTCGTTCGATATTTCCTCTCACGTAGTTATTCGAGTTCCACGACGTTTTACTCCATGAACGTCGATAAGAAAGGATTAGAATGGTTTAAGAGGTGACCGTGGATAATTTACGGCACCTAATCTAGCTAACTTAACTTATAACGAGGTTAGTGGACTTTACTTCGTCAGCCATGAGACACAGAGATTCCTACTTTCAGAACTACGTGACATAACTCCTTATACCTTAGCGATTGTATATTTCTTCGTTTAAAAGAATAATTAATAAAAATTAATTTCCTACCAGTTTTTTTTTTCTTTTTCATTTTCTTTATCGATTAAATCAATTTGATAGAATAACGAAGAGAAATTGTTTTTCTTTTTTTTTTTTTATACTGGGGGGGGAAATACAATCGTTTCTAGGAAAACGAGAAATATTATCGTAAAGATCGTGAATCGAAAAAGATAAAAGAAGAAATATGAAAGAATTGTGATCGAGAAAAAATAAAATTGAAATAGCTAGAGTAAAACAACACAACACGTGCATCGATTAGCGTTCTATTATTTTGCAATGGCTAGTAGATATATAGATAGTGTATTATCGTCGAGCTTTTCGTAGTATTCTGCACATTGTCGGAAGATAGGATCGATTGAAAAACGCATATTTATTCCTGCGGGCTACATTCGATATAACGTACACCGATTATCCGTCGAATTTATCGCAAGGAATCTCTTATCCATGGTTTTGCATCAACGTTTCCATGTATATATATATATATATACGTGTGTATATACATTCGTGAAACATAATTTATTATCACGTCACGTTGCTAAAAATGTCTTACAGATTTTTATGTCCCTTTTTCTCGGACAAGATAAATTATAAGATCGTATAATACGCTTTGCTTTCTTTAGAATCTACTTTAAATAAAAAAAAAAAAGAAATATGAGAATCCTATAATAACAATAATAATAATAACGAAAAAAAATATATACAAATACATATTATATCTATTGAGAACGAATTTAATGAGAGATATATTTATTACGTTGAATAATTTCATAATCCTGGGAGGAAAAAAAAAAATAGAACAGCTAAATGTAAATGTAAGAACACTTTTTAATTATCATCATCCAGAAATACATTCATTAAGAAAAATTTAAACGATATATATATATATATATATATATATATATACACACACATATAAAGTCGATAACATAATATTAGTTCGTATAAATCGACATAATCTATCCTGACAGCATCTTGATAGCTTCATGCAATTCTCTCCTACATCTTTTTCAGCTTACGTAGCACCTGCGATAAATCAGACACTTCCGTTACCGAATTGGGTCAAAATCATTACGCGTCGCTTCTCTATATACGCCAGAGAGAGGCTTAGAGATCTCGAGGTTGCTTGTTCAACTTGAATTACTAGCAGTAAATTGTTATCGTTGCTAGGAACATATCTATCGATATCATCGCATTCCAATGTACACTGATGATAATGCATAACGCGAATCGATTCGACCTGTATACGCGAGACCTGCTTTAAAGACGCATGAACGAACGAGTTCCGATGGACCGATCCTAATTCATCGTTGTCTTCCAATCAAGTTTGTGTCTCTAATCACGATTAATTTGTGTGTGTGTGTGTGTGTATAACGGAATGTTAACGCAAACGATAGAAAGATATATAGGATATATATAGAAGAAAGATATACAATGATTTAAAGCATACAGATTTTTATATAATAATTTTTAAAAAATAATCAATGAAATATAATTGTGTATTTTTTTTCTCATATTTTATTTCTTTATAAAACAATATTCGTTAGGCGCGCGTAACCGTGTATTTTCGATACGATTGTCTACAAACGAAATCTGAACACGATAATAATCGTTCGATCATGGACAAAAGCTCTAAACGTATATTATACAAACGGTATCCATTTTCATGCATACTATCGAAATACACAGAGAAAAGCATACGCTTGCAATATGGACGATCTGAAAACTGGTAAATTTAATCAGTGAAATTAGAGAATTACTTAAAAAAAAAACAATTATATAGCTTAATGATAAATCGTTGTATGAGTATATAAAAACAAAACGTTTCAATGGATAAATTGTGATACTTTTGAAAATCTATACCTGTTATGACGAAAACGTGTTAATTGATATTAATTAATAAATTTAATTAGACCGAGATACGAAATATAAGATGATACTAACCCCATGAAATATTCGTTGATGATCTATAATATCAATCATACGAATAAAATCGAACAATTCTAACGTCAAAACATATAGAGAAATTAGAGATTAATTAATACATTCTCAAAGAATATTCTATATTTCCATTTAACACAATATTGGTATTGAAATCTCTTTTATTTTAATTTTATATAAAACGTGGAAAAATAACTAAATAAAAAAAAAAAAATAAAATAAAAAAAAAGAAAAAAAGACAATAATTCTCCGGGAACCAAGATGTGAACAATAAAAATTTCTGTTAAATCGTATTCAATGAGTTACGTATATAAAAATGTATACCATTGTTCGGCATGAGAGAATAGTTCTTTATGAAGACAAAGAAAAATATATATGGGAAAAAAATGATTAGAGAAAAAGGGAAAAAGAGAAAGAGAGAGAGAGAGAGAGAGAGAGAGAGAGATTGAGGGGATACAGATTGAGCGGAACGTAACGTGTTAAGCGTAACAACAGTATGTGGCTCCTTGACTGAAGTTAAAGAGAAAGAACAAGTATGTGTGGAGGGTGTTTCGTTGGTTGTAGGGGAAGGAAAAGGAAGGAAGGAAGAAAGGGACGAAGTGGAGGGGGATGGAAAGGGTCGACTAGGTCTCGACAACTCCTACAACTTCACAATAGCTTCGTCCTATACGCCACAAGAGCGGAATAAACTTTCCTCGTGTAACTTTAAAATTGATGATCGCGCTGGTATAACGTAAGTATATCCGTAGTAACGTAATAAAGCACGTCACTGCCGAGGTTTATCGAAGCGAAAGCGTACCTATGTACGTGCTACGAGAAAAGGGAAGAATACTACGAGAACTAAGAAGAAGAAGAAGAAGAAGAAGAAGAAGAAGAATAAGAATAAGAAAGAAGAATCACGATTTTAGAAAAGCAAATTTTTATGGCACGTATCCACTTTGAAAGTGAATAAGTGTGTTTGTATTTCTATGCTTTCGTTGACAATCGTTCGTATATATTTTTTTTTGTGTGAATGAATATAACTCATTCGTGTGAATGAAACGTAATTAAAGATTGATATAAGTAAATGTAAATTGAGATTAAATGAAAATATGATTACGTATAAATCATTCAAATCTAACTTCAAAGGTAGATAAGAATAATATTGTGTTAAGTTTAAAATGATTTGGAATTTATGTTGTGGCGAGAAAAATAAAATAAAATAAAATATATAAAAGAGATAATTCGAGGTAAAGTAACGTGTGGGAGAGAGAAAAAAGTGAAAATGTTTCATCGAGAAATCTGACGACACGAGTCGAGGGGTGATCCTATGAAAATCTCCTTGAACCTAATAGAAGATTCGATGCAAAATCCTCGTGAAGCTAGGCATTCGAGAACTAAGTAAAGCCGATTCGAAACAGCTGCTGCGTAGCTCGTAAAATGGGAATGTTGCGTAGGAAATCGCTGACACCTACCCAAGTAGAAAAATCCCTCGTTGCTTTTTTTCTCTCATTTTATTTCGTAAAGGACTCTAACATTATAATATTCCCTAATCCTTACTAAAACGCGTCGTCACGTGTTATTTCTAATTTCGAATATCGTCTCGCGAATGTATAAGCTAATATCGAAAATAAATTCTACATTTTACAAATATAGATTTTTTTTCGAACAACACACGATTGCGTATTAACTATTATAAAACTGTAATGAAAAATGTTATCTCTGTAATATAAACATTAATCGAATTTCGTATAAAATCCGCATAGCAAACGTATCTTTCAAATATAAAACGTTTATATTTTGATAAAAAGGGGGCAAAACAAATAAATATATAAATTCGTTGCGTATACACAGAAACCCAGTTATATACAGGGGAGAGGGCGCATTTAGAAAAATGTCGAGATACGTTTAAAAACTTCTAAACGAAATAGGAAAAATTTCATTTTCATCAAAAGTTACATGGAGTAAAATGTTACGCGCCCTAGTGATTTCACAAGCGTTGAGCAAAGCACGTAACAGCATCATGCTAGTGCTTGAAAAGTATAGTAGTAAAGTACGAAAAATTCAGGTCGAAGTCGAAAATTACCGTTGACGTGTATCAACGACGCTTGGGATCGATATTTGCCAACTATCGAAGGAAACTTTCGAAATCCTTTGAAAGGCTATTGGAAGTGGCTCGCGGCTGTAAAGCGACAGTAGCGTGTCGATATATTTCGTCGGAGAGACTGGTTTAACGGCACGTCGACCGATTGTCGAGGGAAATTCAATGCGAATTTCAAACCAGACTCCGTATATTCCTTACACATTAATGACAGAGTACGTCCATATTCACAATAGGTAATACCAATCAGAATTTCTCCGAGTAATAATAATAATAATCATCAACAAATCTAATAACAAATTTAATCAATCATTACAAAAGTAACACAGATCGATATATCGAATAATAACTATAGGAAAAATACGCGTTAAAAATGTATAACAATATTAATATATTATATTATATATTGTATCTCGTGTCCCAGATAATAATATCGATTTTCAACAGATTATCCTGTAAGATAAGATAAAACCCAATTTCTCGATCCCTCCCACTCCCCCAATCCTCCAGTCATGCTATCCCTGCGTGTCTAGTTAGGGTGACGGTAGAGTTAATTGTCAGTGAGTAACGCCTG